TTGGCTGTGGTTTGGTTTTTTTTTTTTTTTTGAAGTGTGTCTCTACTCTTCCACCTTCAAAAAGCACCTGACATTTTATTTTTTTCTGATAATGTTTTTAAAAAACTCTCTGTAGGAAGAAGGTGTCCCTGCAGGGGTGGTGGAAAGATGGAAGGATGAAATAATATCAAGGTTGAGAGAGGGTACACTGCCCTGAGATGTCCCCCTTGCTGGGAGGGCAGGCCCAGGTTGTATCCCTCAGTGCCTCTCCTCTCTTGTGCAGTACGTGTTCGACTACCAGGACAGAGACATCTTTGGCTGCATGGCAGACATCGGCTGGATCACAGGACACACCTATGTGGTCTATGACCCACTCTGCAATGGTGGCACCACAGTCCTTTTTGAGAGCACTCCCGTCCATCCTAACCCTGGTGAGTGAGGTGTCTCAGGGGAGCCAGGACACACCACGGCCACCCTGCGAGACCTGCAGCAGGCAGGGAGCTGGTGGCTTGATGCCAGGACACAGGCAGCAATGGTTCTGCTGCCGCAGGAGCAGACCATGGGCTGCGCCCAGCAGAGAGCTGTGAGGGAAAGAGACTTTTCCTCTGGTTAGGAAGCCACTGCTGCTTCACCAGGGATGAAGCTGTTTCTCCCTGTCCCTCTCTGCAGCAGGGAGAGTAGCAGAGCTAAGTGATGAGGAAGAAAAGGGGCCACTGCTGCTCCTGGACTGCTTTAGTCCCTCCCAGCATGGGATTAGCTTGGCTGAGGGTCCAGGCACTGCTAGAGAGCTCTTGCTCTCACTTCTTCTCCCTCTATCTTGGTCTCAGGCTGGGAGGACCTGTGTGTATGGTTACTGTCCCTGTTTCCATTCCAGGTCGCTTCTAGGAAACAGTGGAGAGGTTAAAAATAAACCAGTTTTATGGGGCACCCACTGCCATCCGCCTGCTTCTGAGATATGGCGACGAATGGGTGAAGAAGTATGACCACTTTTCTTTCAAAGTGCTTGGCTCAGGTAACTGCTGGTGGCATGGGCTGGAGCAGAAAATCCATGGGCATCAGGTTGTGCCTCTTTCCACCAGTGCCAGGAACAGCAGCATGTGAGAATGGAAAGTCAGGGAAACTGCGCTATTTGCGGGGGGCTCTGTGAGCAGGCCCTGGGAAGCTGTGTATTCACATGATCTTTCAGCTCTGTTCCCTTGTCTTTCCCCTTGCAGTGGGGGAACCCATCAACAAGGAGGCGTGGGAGTGGTACTTCCGCGTGGTTGGCGAGACACGGTGCCCAGTAGTGGAAAACTGGTGAGATGTGTACAACCCTTTGTTCCAGCTTCTGCTCTCCCAGGCTTTAGGATTGACCTGCTGCTTTGTTGGCAAAGTGGGAACGGTTGTTACTGACCCTCTTGTACGAGCAGTGCTATAAGAGGCCTTGGGCACCAAAACATGAAAGGGAGAAATGGCCTTTAAAGCTAACAGAGAGAAACATGGGGGAGTTGACAGTAGGGAGCAGATCTCTGCTGAACTAAATGAGCAGGATCACCTTCTGCAATGAACCTTCCCCAGCTCTCTGGAAAACCCAGCCCCAGCCTGTGCTCCAGCTGCATGCAGTCAGGGCCAGGTCAAAGGCTGCTGGCCAAGCAGTGCTACTTGGCGTTCCTCTTGTCACCTATTTTGATAAGCATTACAGTTTCTTTTGGTTCAGAAACAGGAGGCATCTGTATCTCCCCCTGTCCTTCTAATCCTGGTGCCGAAACCCTTCCAGGCATGGCTATGAGACCATTTTTTGGGATCAGGCCCTCCCTCCTGGATGACAAGGTACATTTATAACCTGCAGCCCAGGCACTGGCTCAGCTTGCTTTCCCCCAGGCACTTGCAGACAGGAGTGGAGATCTGTAAGTGCATCATTCCTTCTCACCTCTGCTGGATGGCAACTTTCTTTACTGGAAAAGGACTAACAGTGAAGCTGTTCCTCCAACCAGTGCAGAAGTTGAGTTGTTTTCTAGCTTGCTCTGTCCTGACAAGACAGGCTGTGCTTGGGCTCCCTGGCACGTGTCTTTCCAAGGTGAGGTAGGTGGGCAGGGACAGCCAGCCTCCCTGGAGGGGCCCTGCGTCCCATCGTGGTAGGCAGCTGGTTGCAGACATCTGCTGGGAAACACTGAGCCTGTCCCATTAGAGTTAGGGGCACAGGACTACTCCTCACTGCCTTCCCTGACTTTTCCACCACAGGGTTGTTAAACAGGCAATGACTAAACATCCCAATTACCCTCAACCACGGTTACAAAAAGGTAACTATTTTACAGGGAACTGTCCTTCTGGAAAACAACATCTCTGGAGCCCTTTGCATCTCACAAGCCTGGCCAGGTATGGCACGAACCATTTACAATGACCACAGGAGATTTCTGGAAACCTATCTGACTCCTTATCCAGGTAAGGAAAATGCATGGCAGGTCACTGCAGAGGTGTTTCGTTGGGTAGGGTTGGGGCTGCCTGCTGGTTTTCTGCATGGGGCAGGACTCTTCCACAGACCCTCCACAGTGTTAAGGCCTTTCATCTCCCCCTGCATGATACCTCCACCCTGCCCTCTGGGAATATGTCTCTCTCACCAACCTTCCCCTTCGGATCACATGTGGTTTTAGGGCAGTGAACTTGTCTGTCCTTCTGACCCCAGTTCCCTTGAGCACAGGGAGGCCTCTTGATGCATCACTTGCAAACCCTGTCAGCTTCTGTCACTCACCCAGAGTATGTGTGTCTTGACACAAAGCAAAAGGGGAGAAGCAGCAGGATCACAGGCACCTACACAGGAGCAAAATGCTCCTGGCTTGTGGTGATGAGATAGGCTGGGCATCAGCCAGTGCACTGCAGAATGAGGGAAGGAGCCTGATGATAGAACAGGTACCGACAGAGGCAGAAGACTACCAAGGAAGGAAGGCACCTTCACTCTGGGCAGTTGATGAAGGAGCAGAGTACATGAGCCCCAATGCCAACAGAGAAGGGGGCGAGGTAAGCAGCTCACATCATCACTGCACCAAGTGACCATGGCATGGTTCTGGCCACTGCAGGGTTTTTCTTCACTGGGGATGGTGTGTATCGTACCAGTGAGGGCTACTACCAGCTGACAGGATGGCTGGATGACATCATTAACAGCAGCAGACACCGGCTGGGCACTGTGGAAGTGGAGGATGTTGTGGTAAGAAGTGTGAGTGGGAGGTAAAGCCATCTGAGGGGATGGTGAAGGTGCACTGGTGGTGCTCAGAGAAGCCTCTCTGAAATACCCAGACAGAAACATGCTGCTGCTGTAGCAGCAGGGAACAGCGCTGGACCCAGAGCCTGCCTGTGGGAACAGCGCTGGACCCAGAGCCTGCCTGTGGGAACAGCGCTGGACCCAGAGCCTGCCTGTGGGAACAGCTGCCCCCCTTTTCTCCTCCCATTCTGGCTCTCTGCAGCAGGGGAGGGACAAACCTGATAATGTTGATGCTGTAAGTGGGTGAATCCCAAAGCGGCAGCCAGACATGTTATGAAGGCGCATTCATGGGCCAGTAAAGATTGTGGGAACTGATGGAGCAATGTGGAGGCACAGAACAGGATCTAAAAGGTGCAAGCCTAAAGCAGCCAGGAGGAAAGACTCGTGTTTGCAGACAGACCTGCTGAGGCAAGAAGGAAAAAGGGCAGAGGCCACATGAGGCCCTTCTGTATCTGTCTGCATTACCATGGGCTGCAGCAGCCAAGCTGGGCCAGGGCAGCTCCCAGCTGGCAGTCAGCCTGCCAAAAGCACTGAGCCAAACCCCAGCCCTCTTCTCTTCCAGAATCACCATGTGGCAGTGGCAGAGTCTGCTGTCATCAGCTACCCACATGAGATCAAGGGAGAATAAGATGCTTGCTTTCCTGCCCCTGAAACGTCTCTCCCAGGGGATTGCACTGCAGTGGGAAGTGACACTGTCACACCAACCCCTGGTAGCAACACTGTGCCAACGCCGTACAGCGTGCCAGCCAGGATCTCAGCACAGCCCTCCCAACCTACACGTGAGGCCAGCTGGGCTTTGCGTTAAGGCAGCAGCAGCACCGTGGCCAAAAGCACTTACAGCACAGCCTACAGAGCAGCCCCTGAGGCTACCAGCAGCAGGCTCTCAGGAACATGCTGTGCACAGTGCTCAGTAGCCTGATGGTCCTTCTGCCAGGAGCCTATGTATTTGTTGTGCTGAAGGACAGTGGTTACACACAGGAGACTCTTGCTGCTGAGCTACAGGAGCTGATCTCAAAAGAAGATTGCCAAGTACGCCGCTCCAGAGTAACATACGCGGGCTGTTCCAACACCCACCTCAGCAGCCTGGCCAACCTCTTTCCCTCAGCCTCAGCCCTGCTCCTCCCCATCACAGGTCACACACCGGCTGCCCAAGACACGCTCAGAGAAGATTATGCATCGGGTGCTAAGGAAAATCGTGGAGGACAAGGCCAGTGAGCTTGGGGACCTAGCCACCCTGGATGACCATAAAGTCGTGCAGCAGATCATAGAGGGACGCAAGCGCCTGGTGGAGGGGCAGAAGAGCTGCTACCTAGGCTCTGCCAGCAGCCACCTCCTCCTCCTCCACTGCAGAACCAGGGCCACATCCAGAAATGTCACTAAGCAACCGCTAGCCAGTAAGTGCTTCTCAGAGACTATACCTCCACTGCAGTCTCAGAGCGACCTCTCTGCAACACAGAGACCCTCAAAACCTCTGTCTCTACACACCTATGAGAGGGAGGATAACAGGGAGGGAGCAGAGCAGGGAACAGAAATATGATTCATCACAGGCAGAACAGTAAGGGGAGGTTTCCTCCCCTAAAAGCAGAGGATCAAAAGCTCTCGTTGGGGTGCCTCATGCCTTGCAGTAGCTGTGGAGCTAGCAGCAGGGCAGGATGCCCAGCCCTGGATAGGTACGTTACTCCTACCCTTGCTCTGCTCTTCAGCAAGTGCCTAGTCCAGGACCACTGCCAATATACAAGCAGCTCCTCCAAAGTAAACCCCAGAAGAAAAAGATGCAGCAGCCTGGTTAACAAATACCGACTCTTCTTCATAAAAATCGTTGGAAAACAGGCCCCAGATTTTAATACAAAAATGTTCCTTTGACCTGTAACCATGTGTCATAAGGAGAGCAGAGACATGCCCCTTCTCTGTGCCAGCATTCTCCTCCCCTTACAGTGCATCCCTTGGCTCCTGCTGGGGAGCACAACCCTCAACAGAGCCACAGGTACAGAATCCTGTTCTGCAGGGCTGTGTACCAGAGGCAGAAGTCAGAACAGAAGGCTGCATCCTGGTGGCCATTGCTTCTGCGAGCCCCATGAGACAGCATCTTCTCTCTGGGCAGCCTAGCAGCTCAGCCCTTTCCCCCATGAGAGACGGGGAGGCAGGAGAAGGGGGCTGGGAGAAGGATAGCATAGATGTGTCTGCTCCTGGCAGAACCCCACACCATGAATTCAGACTTGGCTTTGTGACCATCAGCAAGATGTAGAACTGGTCTTGCACTGGATGAATCCCTTGTTGGCAGCTGTTGGCTTGGCAGCTCCATGTCTGTGCTATTCAGAGCTCTCCCACGCGTGTGCAGGTTCTGTGGCTGGCCAGACAAAGGTATGTTTTTCAGCATCCTTCCCCAGCTGGGAGCCGCTTCATCTTCTCACATCGAGTGAGATCCCATCTTCCCTCCCCATGAAGTTTCAAAATCCAGCTGTGGAACTGCAATTCAATAACGCAACGACTGAGGAGTATCTCTACAAGGGCATGTCCTCCCACAGTAAGGCTCTCTAGCATCAGTCATTCCCCTCTGCTCACCAGGGACCCTCTCTACCTCCCCTGTCTTGCCACCACCAGAGGGGTGTGGAGCGCTGTCCCCCCATCTCACCTTTTCCAGGCTGGCCCTGTGTCCCACGCTGATCAGCGTCATACCCAGATGAAGGCACACACGGTACAGTTCATGCTCCACCTCTTCTGTGAGGGCGCTGGTGGCTTCATCTAGCACTGAGAGAAAAGTTGTAAGCCCCACAAACCCTCTCTGACCAGTCATCTCCCCCTAGGCAAAAGAGCAGCAACTGCCAAGAACATTTCACGTATTTATCAGAGTTCACCAAGAACATCTGCAGAAGGCAAGCGAGGAGAGGCCTAATGACTCTGATTTTCCTCTGGTGTCAGTCAAGTGGGAAAGCTGCCCTTCCCCACAAACCCTTGAATCTACTCAAACAGCATAATTCACCTCATTCCTCTCTCTTAGCTGCCAGCCACTGCCCCATCCCCACCATTGTGAAAACCAAGACGTGACCATCTCAAGGCAAGCCGAGTGCCAGGCTGAGCAGCAGCCTGTGCACCCCTCCAGCCCAGACCCCACCTGGGGCATCCAGGACAGCCTGAGGCACCTCCCTGTCAGTGAAGGGTAAATACTACAGATGTGGAGCAGATAAATTCAATTCGGTTTATATCATCTCTACAGCTTTTAGTTTGCAACCCACAGGTTCCTTCTGCCCAGACATCACTGAGCCGTGCCGCAGGCTTCAGGTCAAGAGAGGTACTTATGTGTGGCTACTTGCTACTGACACTGGCTCTGTTCACCCACACCCACCCTGGCCCTCACAAGTCCAACAGGCCCCTCCAGCCCCCAGCAGTCACTAGCAATCTAGGTGTGCAAAAGAATTAGCCCCATCTGCTAATGGGAGCTGCTTCCGTGATCTCTCAGCACCGTTTCTCCCACTGCTCCTTCTCTTCTTTTGTTGCACTACAGCTAAATTTCCCACAGTGCTTCCACAAAAATTCACAAACTTCTGATGTGGCAGCTGACACCACGCTCCCTAGCATGCACACTTCTTTACATAGTAACTGGTGAGCACGCTGAGAGGGGGCTTCTTCAGGTGCCATTGGATCTGGACCAAGAACATTAATCACTAGTTCCCTAAGAAGGGAATGTCTTCTATACAGTCTCTTGATTTACCACCCTCCACACAGATAATTAAATGTTTTCACCTTTGAATTCTCTGTATGCTACGCTGCCAACATAATGGCCAAGACAAAGCATGTTCCTAGCAAAGAAGGGATTTCATGAGCTGTCTCTGTACCAGCTTCTCTTTACACCAAAGGCCCTGCCTTTTCCCCTCCCCCCCTTTTCTTTTGCAGTCACTCACTCACCCGCATACTTTGGCTGGAGGTAGAAGAGCCGTGCAAACGACAGCCTCTGCATCTCCCCTGGGGACAGCACATCATACCTGCAGCAGGGTCAAGATTCAAAATCTCCCTCAACAGAAAGAGCTCATTTGCTAAAGAGCTTACAGTTGCTATGGTTGCTGATATTGGAAACCCAGCAAGCAATTGTCCCTGTGTGTCCTGCCATGCCCCACTCCACGCTGGGACTGACTCTGCACCCCTGTGCACAGTCAGCTGCCTGCAGAGCAGCACGGCTGGTGACTGTTGGCACTGACGCTTGGGGCATGAAGGCTTTGCCTCTGTATGCTGCCCACCTCCCACAGGACACAGATGTTCGTAAGCCCAGCATCAATGTGCATCTGCTTACACAAGTGTTCCCCACCAGAGGGATCACCCAAATTTATGCAGACAACAAGCTCCCTTACCAGTTCCAGTCCACCTGCTTGTCCAGTCCTCCAGCCCTCAGCAGCAAATCCGTCTGCAGAGAGCACAGCAGACTTGTGAACACAGCCCCCAGCCCTGTCAGCCCATGGCCCCGAGCACAACCACCCCCTTCCTGCTACTCTCTCTTTTCCCACTTGAGCTTAAGATGCTCTGTATCCCCCCTCCTCTGCCTGTCCCACAGACGGTCCTGTTCCAGTTGCAGTGTCCCTGCATGTGTCCAGCACATGGCCATACTGCGTTGCCACAAAACCTCAGCCCTTCTCCCCTCACTGGCAGCACCAGGAAAGAAGGCAGCAGCACTACTGGGGACTCACCAGCCCAGCCAGCTCCAGGAATCGCACAATTCTCTCATCATCTGCAGATCCTAGGGGAGAAAGCAGTAAAGTATAAACAGAGGCAATATGTTCTGAGGCCACAGCTGCAAGGAGTCCTCAGTGGGGCAGGAGAAAAGGACTGGCAGATCTCCTGAGGTCCAGTGTAGCTGACAACCACTTAACTATACCAAGTCCTGAGCTTTGGCACAGAGAGCTCCCAAAGACTGACCTTCTTTAAAAATGTGAACCAGGCCTGTGAGCAGCTGGGCCCCACAGATACACCTGAGGCTTGGCTCAGTCCATGGTCACAGGTGGACACAGCCAGAACACAAGGATCCAGGCTTCAAATGCCAAGGCCCTGCCCTCCAGCTGCTCTCAAACAGCTGAGTGCCCACTGTATGCTGAGGTGGGGGAGTCATGAGAGCAGGGCTCGGGTAACAGCCAGCAAAAGGATCCTATGTGGGATGGGAAAAACCTGAGGGTGAACCAGCTGTGGAGCAGAACATACACTTGAGCTGGTACACTTGACCTCTCTGAAGCTGCTGAAGAGCCACAACAGTAACTGATGGCTGCAGTTACTCTCTGCAAGACTGTGACTCCCAAGTGTTTGAAAGCAGCATGTAACTGTTTCACTCAGACAGAAGCTTAAACCTGGACATGTGCAAACTGCAGCTGACCATGTGTGGTCTGGCCTGGGAGGAGGGCAGCAGAGAAAGGATCCATGTAGTCTGACCTCGACAGCATGAATGGCCCTGGGACATCATTCAAAAAAGAGAAACAGTGGAAGATGGAGACAGATGGAAAATGAGATGAAGGCAAACGTGGCTTGGCCAAAGGCAGGTTGTACCAGACAGATCAGCTGTATCCCAACAGCAAGGTGCCTCAACACGTATCATGTCTAACACAACATGCAGAGCATGGCCAGCTTGCCCTCATTGGATCAAGAGAATATGTTCTTGTCAAGAAAGTATGTTCCCTGCCAAAAGGAAGGGAATGCAGTGCCAACCTTTATCTACACTAAGGTAAATCTTCCAGGGCAAAGCAGAGAGCAACAGAAGCGAAATGGATGAGTGCTCCTGATGGAACATGGCAGGGGAGAAGCTGCACTGGGTACAGGACAGGGAGCTGACACCACAGGGCTGGCTAACTGCTCTAATGAATTTCCACATACCTGAAACTGGATAGATCTCCTTCAGAGGATAGATCACCTGTTTAACAGAGCAAAAGAAGCCACGTCAGAGGGAGCTGGACATAGTCCATCAGAGACACAACGGCAGTGGCATGAACTCAGGGGTGAGGAGCCACAGGCATCCTCCCTCTTGCAGTCCTTTCTGCAGCATGCAGGTTTGCAGGGCACAACCACCGCTGGGAGCAGAGCTGGGGCCAGAGTAGAGGCAGCCCCTGTGCTCACCTGCTCGCGCAGGCTTCCATCGGTGAAGAAGGGCCGCTGCGGCAGGAACACCACTCCCCGGGGGCCAAAGCAGGTCAGCATCTTGATGCTCCCTGCACAGAGACACACTCGTGCCAAGCCTGCAGCATCAGTCAGCAGCTCCCCACCAACCCCTGTGCAGTCCTGTCCCACAAACTAGCCAAAAAAATCCCAGAAAAGGTGTATGTGCAACACGGGGCAAAGCAATGAGAGCCAGAGCAGAGTATGGGATAGAGATGGGTGGCTCCGATGCATCCGTGACACATTCACCATCACAAGGTGGCACTGGCCTCACAACCCCACACTGCCACCTTCCAAACTCAGGGCAGCTCTGCGAGAGAGAAGGCTCTGGTGAGCAGCAGTCCTTACCCTGTGTGCTCTCCCAGAGTCCCCCAAGGACCCTCAGGAGAGATGTCTTCCCTGTGCCAGTGTTCCCCACAATCATCACGCTGTTTCCTTGTGAGATCCTCAGGCTCAAGTCCTTGATGAGCAGCTTGCCAGAGGATGGCACTGAGAGTGTCACTCGCTCCAGAAGGAAAGCTGTGTCCCTTGGCAGCGGGTCCTCCCCAGAATGGCTGCTGAGCCACCACCAAGACAAAGGAGGAGAGATCTCAGGGTAAATGATCACACCGAGACTGGCAAAAATCAGGCACCTTAGACCTCCTGTGCCACAGCGACAGCAGCCCTGCCCCACGCACCCCAGAAAGGACAAATCACAGTGAGTGCTGCCTGCTTCAACCAACTGATGCAACAGGCTGCGACACCAAGGGCCACCTCCATCGCGTGACACCCCGCACTCTGGCATGTAAGCTGCAAGCCAGCCAGTTGCTGAGACGAGACTCACCCGTCCAAATCCCAGCTGGCTTTGGCTTCTGAGTAGTTATCTTTTTTTTTTCTGCCAAGGCTCAACAAGGTCTCCTGCAGTTCACCAATCCTAGACGAATAAGAGGTTGCATGAATGCCAGGGACAACTCCAGCAAACTCCTCACAATATTCAAACTTGTCCATGCTTCCTAACAAGCAACCGTTTCTTATTTATTTAGCACAGATCTGGGCAGAGTCTTGTCCCGCACTTCCCTTTGTTGTGGACACTTGCCTGCAGAGCTCACCTGTGCGTGTAGCCAGCTACATCGGTCAAGGTGCTGGAGAGATCTATAAGCTGGCTGAAGCAGCCAATGAGGTAGATGGAAACAAAAGCATTCTGCAGAGAAATCAGATGCCAGAGCAAGGGTCAGTGCTGATCTGGGACACTGCCCCTTCCTCCACGGCTGCAAGGAGGCAGCCAAGGAGTCCGAACATTTGGCCACATCAGTCCCAGCAAGATGAAGGAGGGATAGAGAAGTCACCCAGTGGGTGTGAATGAAGTGGGAATGAAGATTACTGTATGTGGAGGGACCAGGGCTTCCCTGCTCAGTACAGCAGTTTTTGCCAGGTGGACACATCTCCTACCACCCAGGGACGGTGTTTGCAGAGTGCCTGCTGGCCACCCCAGGGCCCAGCACGCTTGCCTTAAGTCATGCAGATCCATGCCCCCAGCCCTGCCCCAGCACCATACATGGCTCAGAGCAAGGTGTCTCAGCCTGCAGTGCCCACTTGGTTATTTTTAGCCCTGCATTCTCTATCACAAGCCAGTTTTGAGTACCTTGGCGTGAGTCAGGTCAGGAAGGCAAATGCAAACCAGCTCAGCCTTGCAGGTGGCCAAGTTCACCGCAGGCAGCAGCCCAAGGCATAACCCAGACCCACAGCACTGTGCAGACCCAATCCCCACCCACACCACTGAAAGCCAGAGCCTTTCTGACCTCCTAGTTTTGTTTGACACAGAGGTCTGACCTAGGAAACACTTACATAGATGTGTCCTTGACAGCCCTCACCCCCAAGTTAATTGTATACCAGCTGGCTCTATGCTCCTATTTCCATGCCACCATGGGCAAGGACAGTCTAACCTGAAGGCTATCCAGCCCCAGTTCCACCAGCTCCACATGAAACCTCCATCCTCAGTGCCCGCTCACCCTCCGCAATAGGGTCAGGGAGGTCACCCTTAGCTCACCTTGCTGACGAGGGCACTGAGCTCTGTTGGACTCAGGTCACTGTAGACCCCAGAAAAGATGGGAATGGCAATGATCACGTAGCTCAGGATGCTGCCCAGGTAGGCAAAGGTGTTGATGCCAACTGGACAGAAGCACATTGAGAGAAGACAGTGAGTGAGGTTGGGAATGTTCGTCCCAGCCAGGCTCAAGTGCAGCTGATGAGCTCTGCCAGAGAAAGACCCATGGTCTTGCCTCAGCCCTTCACAATGCACCAGAACAAAACTTGTTTCACAAGACAGCACAAGCACCAGGGTGAAAATCCATTTGACAAGCAAAGAGCACTCTGGGGCAGGCTGCTGAGCAGAGAAACATCATCTAGACACACAGCTCAGGAACCACCATGGGGCAAAAGCCACTTTACCAGCTTGTTTTGACTCTTCAGGAGCCTGGCTGACTCACAAGACACAGGACAGAGGGCAAAAAGGAAGCTCTGGGCAAGATGGTTGGCTGTCAAGTGTGTCTTGGAGCACAGGACAGGCAGAAAGACTGAAAACCCCAAACTCCAACAGACACCCCTGCACTCAGGGCTCTCCCTCCCTTAGGTTGCTCAGAAGCTCACTATGCCGGTAAGATGAGGAAGAGCTGTCTTGATAGTGGCCATTTAACATCCAAACCTGGACCCGGTGACAATGGGAGAAGGGACACCTGCAGAGGGCAATTATGCTCAAGGGACAGGCTCTAGAGCAAAGAAGTTTCCACAGCTCGCAATGACACAGAGAGCCGCCGCCTTCTCCAAAGCTCAAGCCCTTCCCTCTCTTCCTGGCCACTGAACACCTGCCCCACAAAAAAGCACAAATTCCTGCAGATTCCCCTTTTGGGGCTTACATTCTCTGACTTACCTTGATCCTCCACAACTTTGCTCTCTACAAGGCTTTTTCACAACAGGATTCCCACTTAGGACTGCAGGAGGCACCCTCTGTTCACCCTCAGTGCTTTCATGCACCAGCAAGAGGCGGGAGCTGAAAACCCAACACTACTGCTCTAGCAGTAGGATTCTCAAGTCTGTGGGCCACCACATGCCTCACTTGACCCCCCAGCTCCCCACTCACTGTATAGCCACAGCTCCTTGCCTATCAGCTCCCTCTGGGTCTGCAGCAGGTTCTGCAGCCTCCGGTCTGTGCGCATGTGCTCCACTCGCCCGGCCCTGTAAAATAAGATTGCAACATCCCACAGACTTTCCAGAAGCAGCACAATGATGTCAAAGCACAGGCTTTAGAACTGAGGCTTGGAAAGGGTCTGGTACCTTAGCCTCCAAGCAACAAGCTCTTTGTTGAGCAGGAGCTGAACAGCCAAGATCACCTTCCTAAAGAGTTTCACCAAGAAACTCTGGTTGAAACAAGCAGCCCTGCAAATCTCTCCCAGAGCCCGTGGATGCTGCTGTTGCATACAGCAGGTGAGGCAAAGCCAGGCACTATTAGCAAGGCCCCAGCCTGGAGCAACACACACCCAAGGTCACACACACTTTCCAAGCAGAGCATGGTTGGAAAAGAAGGACAGTACTGCTACACAGCTGGAGCCAGAAAGGAGAAGGCAGAGGTGAGTCCAGGAGGTGACAGCAAGCCAACCCCACCTGCACGGCCAGCAGCCCCAGTCCGCCTCTTCCCATTCCCCATCCTGCAGGAGTGGGACAGACAAGCCGCAAGCAGTGCAGCCCCCAGTGCAGGTGACCCCAGCCCCACAGCCCCCCCATTCCCAGGCGTATCTCCACAGGCATCAGGGGGTTGCCCACCAACCGAGCTAGCAGTGATGCTCCCACCGCCAAGCTGAGCCACTAGCAAGGACGCACCTCTCAGCTCTAAACCACCCCCTGCAGCGAGCCTGGCAGCTCCTTCTGCTCCTTCGCAAGGGCTGGGCTGCCCTCAGGTGGCAAAATGCAGAGAAAGCTCCAGGTCTCGCTCCAGACTCCCACCGCGCAGCTATTGCCCCTGCCACCCAACAGGCGCTTGTGCACAGCGCACACCCACACTCCCACCACGGTCCACGCAGTGGGGAAGTCACTAGGGCCCGAGCAGATAGGGCCAGGAGCTGCACAAAAACCCACGAATTAATATTTTTGAAGAGTCTCCGTTCGAAAGATTCTTGATTCTTAGAAAAACACGTTATCTTTCTCAAAAATACATCCAGTTAGAATTCAATTTGGCATTACTGCCTTACAATCCATCTCAGGTAACTACTGAGCTGCAATCTTTGCTGCTGAGTATTCAGAAAGGACAAAGCCTTGGACACAAGGAGTTAAAGGTGAGGATGGCACCAGGGACCAGAGCTATTATTTCTTTTGCAGATGAGGAGATTGCTGTATTGGCTTCAGATTTTCCTCTCACTCAGTTCACTTTTAAAGCAAGTTTGCCAAAGGCTTAGCAACCAAAGCAGTAAAAAGGTGACAGTGCTCAGGTTCTGTTTCTTCCTTTACCTAAACAATGGTTAGGCAGGTGCAAGAGGAGAAGATCTAACAGCTCCTACAAGCTAGAGAAGTCTGGCAATCAAAATCAGCCACTTGCCACATGCTCCTCTTGCAGGATTCTAGGAATGCAACCTTCCAAAAAAATTCCTTTATTAGGATTCATACCATGAAAATGCCTAGCTTTGTGCAATTCAATTAAATTCTAGTTTTCCACCAAGTGAAGCTTTTCTGCTAATGAACTGTACTGAAGTAAGACACTCTGTTTTCTGGTATAATAATTCACTTTCCATTTTCTACTTAGTAATAGAATAAAAAACTCCAAAACTGTGAGGAAAAGTACCACAGCTTAAATAAGGGCAGGTAATTAAAGTATCTTCTCCACTAGGAATAATGATCATCAACCAATAAGAATCAACCAGCCCACAAAGAAATAACTCAAATTTGTCGGTGCAAACCAAGATTGATTTCAGTTATTTAAACCAGAGTTTCATGCCTGTCAATATAAATCTTCATGAAATTGGTGACTTTGAATCAAACCACTTTGGGGACAACACCACAACACCTGAATTGCTCAGTCATTACAGGATGATGGAGCCAAATACAGACAACAGGCAGAGAAGACCTGAGACAGGACAGCTGCTGCTTGCTTAAAATCTTGGAAGCAACATGATTTCGCAATACACAGGGCAAAGGTAGACATGTGATAAGAGAAGCAATGACCTCCTGCCACCAGCCAGGCATCCCAACACAACCTGCAGTAAAATCATGGCCCTTTTCCTGAGTTCTAGCCATTTCTGTGAGACACCCTAAAGGCTCCAACAAGCAGCTCAACAGACTTCAGCACGTCGCTGAGTGGGGAGGTGCTGCTGGGCTCCCAACTGTGATCCATACTAACCTGTAGAAAGCAGCTGGTTCAGCATTGACACGAATCTGCATGTGCTTGAACCTGGAGAACCCCAAAAACACATCATCAGGAATGTGCACAAATGCCCAGTGTATTACGTAGCAAACATCCTTGCTAGAGGAAACTCGTCTTGCATCTGTCAAAGCACTGATCTGAGGCATCTCTTGACAGAAATAATAGGCTCAAAAAGGCACCAGAGACCAAGGTTTGGCACAAGGTGTTACCATTCTGGGCCAGCTCAGTGGCACATTTGTTTGGTTTCCCGATTTCTGCGCGCATCTTCTAAGTCCCTGGGCCTCCCATTTGCTAGCCCACCATCTCCACCATAAAGAATCACCACAACCAATTGCCCTGGTCTGGGCTCCCTGTTCCACACCAGCTCCTGATGCTGTCCCTGGATGCCCTGAGCCCCAGGGAAAGCTGCAAAGCTGCTGCCACACACCCAGCCAACCCAACAGCGGGAGGACGAGGTGAGTTATAGAGCATATGGAAAGACTGTTTTGTTTTGGACACTTTGTGAAGGTGGTGGTGAAACAGAAACCTGATCTCTGCCAGTAGATGCAGTTCACTGAAGTTGCACCTGCACCCAAAGAAGCTCCACGTGCAGTTTTCTTCAACACATCCAATGCCCTAGCAGAGGCACCAGCAACATCAGTGACCAGGCAAGCAGCCTGGAGACTGAACCAAGGGCACTGCCTGCCACAACACAGGACAGTGAAAGGAGTGTCAGGGGCTCAGCATGCGGACTTTGGGGCAGCACTGCACAGGTAGGCTTCCCTGAGTGTGGGGAAAGTCATGGACAATAGAAGTAGGTACATACATAACACTGAACAGGGACAAAAACGCAGCTTTCGCAGGCGCTGCCAAGAGGCAGTGAAAACACTGCTCTGCTGGGACTCACCTGAAATCCCCCTCCAGTTTTTCCTGCTGCACCAGTTTAGACACAATTGGGCTCATCAGTACCTTGTTGACAATCGTCCCAATGACAAAATACCCAAAGATGCTCACCGGGCCTAGCCAGCCTGTGCTACAGAGGAGGAGAAAGAGGTCAGCTAATAATCCAAGCAAAAGGACACACCAGCAGCCTTGGGCTCAAGCAGTCAGATCCCTCAACTGGCACCTCTCTTGGCTTTCACAGAGGTTTGGAGGCCAGCACTGCACATCCCAGCATCCCCATGGCAGAATTTCCTTTGGAGTGCAGAGACCACTCACCCACATGTACAAGCATCCATCTGGGGAGTTGTAACGTGGGTGCCAGGCTCCAAAACAGAGCACAGGAAAGAGGCATGAAAGCAGGGCCGGGATGGGTCCTTACCTGTGGAAGCACTGGTACGTGTAGTAAGCCAGTGTGAAGGGCGAGATGATGAGCTTGCTGGCCATGGAGCTGAGCTGCTTGCAGAACCTCTCCACATCCTGGCTGATGCGCTGGTCCCTGCTCAATGCAAAGAGCCACTGACAGTGTTAAAGCCCAGGAGCAAGAACCAGCACTGACTCCCTAGCAGGGCACAAGCCAGGCTGTTTCATTGCCTCAACTTAGCACAGGGTGCAGGTGAACAACCCTGCCTGGGAGGGACCTGCAGCTGTAACTCCCAGGGCACAACTTCCATGGCCCAGCAGGACTCACCCAAGGGCCTTCCTGACACCCAGGAAAAACAGCTCCTGTTGTTACCGTCGCCCTGTTCCTTGTATTAATCCCTTGTTCCACTTCCAACAACACTGTACATCTCTGTGCTAAAAGGTCTCTGCATCCTCATCCTTTACTCCTCTCTTAGACCCACCCTTGTACTACCAAAAGCCACTGACTTTCCCCCAAACCTTCTGTATTGGTGCTGCATCTCAGGCACCAGAGCTACCAGGACCAGCTAGGGCATGGGCCAGGCCTTCACCAGCTTTTGGATATTTGCAAACACTTCCATCAAAGCCACCCTTCCGCAGCAGTTGGTCCCTTCGCCCTGCATGGAGTGCCCTTTGGTCCCTTTTCTGCAAGGAAGAAAGTGCTTCCACCCACCCCACAAGAGCAGGCAGCAGCGCACCAAGCCTCCCTGCCCCACTGGCAGCAGGAACACAGGTGACAGACCCTCAAGTCCCATCTGTCCCACTGTTGAGCATGTGGGGTAACTAGAAAGAATTTCAGTATATTTACTCCCTCAGCACTTCATCTGTCCAGAGCACGTGGGTGAGGCTTCAGTCTGATGCACTAAGCGCAGGTGGAAAGGCCGTGACTCTGCTGGAGCCCTGACTTGAAGAGCAAGGTCAGGCTCCTGCTTAGCCATCAGTGCAGATACAACCACAAGGACATTCAACACTTTTGCAGTCCTGGAGCAGCAATGGATTTAATTTGGGGGCAGCTCTCACCCTAACTGACCTTATAGCCATCATTCTTCCTTTTCCTCAGACTGTAATTATTCCCATAAAGTTATAATTTAAGTCGTGCAATAGACTCATGGCAGGATATTGCTTTTTAGAGCTATTAAGCAACATGTAATGATAATATATAAACATCGACTCAAACACCCCGCTATGAGACACAAGTGTTTGTATGCCACTCAGAACCCACTCTTCATTCCTTCTACATGGATGACACTGTGCATCTAACACTCAGTTTGGGTTGCACTGCATAATGGGAGGTCAGTTCATGGCTCTAATTCTCTAAGTACCTGGTACAGGGAAAAAACTCTCATCAAGGAACTGCAAGATAAAGAGAATTTTGTAGTGGCACCAAAAAAGACACTAAACAATAAGATTGGATGTTTCAGCAGAAGCAAGGTGGTAATGAAAAATACTCCACAGCAATCCCACACATTTCGTCTGCTAAGGTCAGGAGACCTGGCTCTATCGCTGCAGAGCAGATCGACTCAGTTATCTCTTGCATTTCACTGCACAATGTGAACACATTCCCTGGTTAAAAATAAACCTGAGCAGGATAGTCATGTGGTGAGGAGCCTCTGTCCTCCCCTTCCCTGCCCCCAGCAAAGGAAAAGACAGGCGTGCAGGAGCTTCTGTCCATGGCCGATGTGCTACACTGCCTGGGAAGCACTGCACGCCTTGGTGACAGGCATAGCTCTTTAACCTCTCCTTGCAACTCCATACCACTGCAAAACATAATCAGAAATGAACATTTAATAAGGGTAGGAGTAACCCTGACAGTGGCTGGAAAATGCATCAGCATCATGAAGCTGTGATTTCACATCTGGCGGAAAGACTGCTTGATCCAAGCTAAGCCCCCTCCTTGCTTGCTGCTCCCCCTGCACACAGCTGGTTGCCTGTACTCTGGCTGTCTCCTAGCACTGGGGCAGCAGAAGCAGCCAGGAAACGGATCTAGCTGAAAAATGGTAGAAACAAAAAAATATCCAAGATACTCAGCACAATTTCGCTGTGCAGCCACACAGACCACCACGCTGCACAACAGAGGGGCAAGGAGAAGGAGCCAGGAGCACTGGGCAGCAGAGGCACAGAGGCTGCTTCAGTTCCTTGAGGTCACCACTATTAGCAACAGTCAGAAGTCCCTGCAAGACAGCTATTTCTCACAGGGACCCTGAGCTTGGTCACCTCTGGTGCCACCAATGTGGGAAATGGCACCAGTGCAGTGACTAGACCAGAGGTGCCCCCTCCAGAGGATGAGAGCTCGTGGTCTCAAAACAACTGCATAAAGCCACACTATTTAGAAAATGTATCCCCTGGTTTCTAGATTTTAAGCAATTCTGGAAGGAAACAAAAAGCCTCTACCTCTCACACAACGTAGTAATGCTACAACAGCAGTGTGTGCAAGGACGGGCTGCAAGGCCAGGGTCCGCAGGCAGTTGTGAGGAAGGCAGGCGTTCGACCCCCGCTGCACAGCCTGGATAGATCAGCAGCTCTGCAGTAAGCAGGACAGTGGACGAAGCAAACTGGAAGGGGATCTTGGGGTGGGCTGGGATAAGCAAGGAGGGTCTGAATGCTCCTCCTTCTTTCATATTTCAATTCGCCCCTGACATTTCCTTCCTAGGAACTGGAAAGGGGAAATGCAGCCCTCATACAGTGCAAAACAAAGCCCTTCCTGGATGTGGCTCCCATGGTTTATCAAAACCACTACTAAAAAGCCAACTAAACAAAACTGCGTTCAGCTGGAGACTCTGGTGGTTGAAGTTCAAACAGAACAACAGGGACTGTCCTAACGTGCTGGTTTCGTGAGGGCAGGGAGAGGCAGTGCTCTCCGACTCCAGACAGGCCCTTTGCAACATCACACCGAGTGTCAAGGGCTGAGTTTGTAGATAGCATGTTTTATAGCAGCACTAGGTCCCCGTTCTGCTGGGCCTCCGTTTTCCTCCCAACAGAAACATCCTACTCCTAAAACCATCATAACTGGCAGTCACAGAAGTTGCCAGCAACAGGTACCAGCTCCCACCCACAGCAGAAGAGGGGATTTGTGCTTAGATGGCGAAAGCTTCTAGGGCTCAGGCCCCTACCCATAGACACATAGAAGTCAGGAAAAGGTGCAGAGCAGCCCAGGAGAAGCCAAGCAAGAGGCTGAGAGAAGCTGCAGGCAGCCTACGGGTTATCGATGTCCTCGCGCAGCACATGCAGGCTGTAGTAGACCTGGCCTTGGAAGTAGCAGCTGTGGAGGTATTCGGTGAGAGACTTCCTCCAGCTCACGTACATCATGTTGCAGATAAACTGGTCGAAGCTCTTCAGCTGGAACGAGGGCAAGAAGACAGACAGGAGGAGATGACTAAGAAGAACAAGCATTTCCCAAAATGACATAAAACCAGTTTGTACCAATGATCCATAGCTACCTAACGGGGCAAGGGCAGCGCTAGATCCTTCATCACCAGGATCATGCCGGGAGCCACGGGCAGCTCTCCCTTCCCCTCCCAAGACAGGGAATCCTCTGGCCTGTCTTACCGTGGAATTCACTACGATCAGAGTCAGGGCAACGGCAGTCAGCGTTTTGAAGCCGGAGAAGTCCTTGTTCCCCAGCACCTCATAGTACTGGCTGGGGATGATGCCGACCTGGTAAATAACCAGCTGCTCTGGAGGAAAGAGGCAAGCAGGGGATGGAAACGGAGCCGGTGCAGCGGCAAAGGGACGAGGTGGGCAGGGGGCGGGGAGCAGACCCGGGGTGCAGCCCCCCCCCACACCCCGGGCTCACCTAGCAAGGCGACACAGAGCAGCGTCAGGAACATGAGGGCGCTGGGGGAGGGCCACCCGGGGAAGAGCACAGCCTGCAGCCGCAGGAACCGCCGCAGGAACCGCCCGTCCAGCCGGGGCACCGGCCTGCAGCGGGGGAAGACGCGGGGGCCAACAGTGAGCTCTGGGGGTGCCCACCGGCCCGGCCCGGGACCCCCGAGCCCGCCCCTCACACCCCCCGCCCCGGCCCGGCCCCGCCTCACCGCCCGCCGGCCCCGGCGCCCCCCGCCATCAGCGCGCGGCCGGCCCCGCCCCCCCGGGCGTTACAACATGAATATTCATCACCTCTCCCCCTCGCGCATCAGCCCCGCGCCGCCCGGCCCGGCCGCCGAACTGCCGGGCGCTTCCGGGTGCGCCGTCACCGCGGAGACCCCGCCCACCGGCACCGCCCCTCCCGCCGAGCGGCAGCGCCCCCTGGCGAGGCGCCGCGCGGCCCGCCGGCACGCAGCGCCCCCTAGCGGCGCCGGGTGGGGGGGTTGGGGGGGGGCGCCCGGCTCCCCACGCAGCCGCGGCCACGCGTGGGGCGGGTGGGCGCTCCCCCCCCCCCCCCCCCCCCCCCACCTCAGCGCCTCCTCACAGCCTGCCGGGTTGCGCAGGCGGGCCGCTGGCTGAGCTGCGGTGTCCCGGCCGCCTGCGCTGGGCGCCAGCCGCGGAGGAGGACCAGAGGCCGTGGGTGGGCAGGGCCACGGCTGCCGGGCCGGAGAAATAGGTTACTGGCTCCTCTTCTGCTGAGGAAGGAGCTGGACAAGCACAGGCTGCTCCCTCTGGGGATCCCAGAGGCTGAGGGATGGTGCCCCGTGGGCACTTGCCATGGGGGACAATGGGAAAGGAGGAGCAGGGCTGGTACCTGCACGTTTGGGTTATTTTGGGGTGGGCAGTGAAGTTTTGGGTTGCTTCGAAAGGATGCGCAACTTGAGGTGGCCACGGTCTGTGGGAAATTTCTCAAGCCGGGACCGGGGGATAAGGCAGCGATCCCCTGCGTGATGGTGAACGGCGGAGTGTGCTCCCCACTCTGCCGCACAAATGGGAGCGGGACAGGGGAACGCCCCGGGTGGAGGGTGGGGAGGGACGTCAAGGAAGGAGCAATGGTCTGTGTCGCTGAATGGACACTCTCTGGCTTCTCCGTGATCCTCAGTTTAATACAGAATCCAGCTGGGTTTTTTTCCCAGATCTGGGTAGTTGCCCAAATGAAATGTTTCGGCACAAGTTTCTGGACAAGTCTGATGATACGAGATGAGGGATCGTACAAGCTGGAATCCCATCCTTCCTCGTGCATCTCTCATACCTGCCATCCTGTTGCTGCCATTTCTTCTGCAGAGCCTTTGGGCTTCTGCATGTACTTCGTGGGGCCCTCTTCCCATACACCAAGTAGCTTCCTTCTCCTGCCAGTCCCCTGCCTCCCAGCCCTCCTTCTCTTCCCTCATCATCATCTCCTTTGTCTTTGCTCTGCTACTATCTGCTCAGGGGTCCGGGCAAATCAAAACACAAAATCAGAGAATATGCACTCAGGGATGAAAGAAGATGCATCAAGTCTGTTTCCTCAGCAAACTGCCCTGTCCCTAAAGAGTGTCCCTTTCTCCTTGCCCTCATCTCCCTTCTCCTAGCTCTTTTACTGCTGGAATTCACAATGCTATCAGTCATACCTAAAGGTTAAGCTCCAGAGGGCAGAGATCAGCCCGCTGAAAACCTGACCTCAGCGATGACTAATTTTTATGTTAAAAGGATCGGTTTTTTCTCAGCTGTTGCATCAGACCTGGGTGATGGCTGCTCCTAGGTAGTCACATCCTCTCACGGTGCAGTATTGCAGCTGGGGCAATTGTGTGTGTCACCTTGTCAGTGGTTACTGGGCCCGAACAGACTCCTTTGCTCCCTTGCCCACCTTATGGTGAGGGGATATTCCTCCCCTTCCCTCCCCTGCTGATGAAATGGCTTCCCAGCACCGAGGGAGCCAGGGGATCTGACACAGAGATGAGATGGTCACGACTGTCTGTCCCAAAGCCTTCCTCCTACCTCCTCCTCCTCCCTGCCCTTTGTCCTGTCCCTGTCACCCCACAACCACCACCTGATAAAGCACATGCTGTGAGCTCCCTTTAGTGAATCAGCTCCAGGATTTTTCCTGGGACCCCTCCTAAGGCAGCCAAGATCAAGAACAAAAGAGAAGTGCCTTTGCTGTGCCTCTCCATCCCCCCACCGAGGCTGTGCCCTAGACACTCAGAGCTGCTCTCGGCACAGAAACATTTACATCTTTTACAGCACTCCAGCTCTACTTCTCACATTTCTCCCCCAGCAAACACCATGGTCATTTCAGAGTGTGCCTGGGGGCAGGGCTTGGGAAAGGACTGGGGAATCACAACTTGAGCAGGGTTGTATGGCTCTGTTTACACTGCAGGGCCATATCTCAGCTCCCTGACTAGCTACAGACCCAAGAGAATCCCCTCTGCATTGCTAACCTACCACTAAACAGCCTGCCATTGATCCAGGGAAGGGAGATCTGGGCATGGCTTGCTAAATCCTGGGCTCCTTGTGGCAGTGCAAGTTAATTCCTTATGGTGTTTAACCCCAGCCCCATCTGCTCCTGCTTGCTAGGTGTGAAACATCCCATCCCCCGTTGTCCCCTGCCTGCCGTCCCATGCATTTTCCCCCTACGCAGGACCGGTGGGGGAAGCCGCTGTCCAGAACCTCTCGCACCCCCGGCCTCCCAGCCCCTGCCTCCTGACAGTCCCCACTGCCCCCCTGTGCTGCCACTTCCCTGCGGCCCCTCTCTGCCTGCTGCCCAGTAGCTGGGATGCAGGGAGCAGCCTGACAAACCCATCTTTCAATGCCTCTGGTGAGTAAGTGGCCCTGGGCACTCTCTGAGACAAGCAGCGGCTGCCGTGACCACCAAAAAACCCACAAGACTGCAGCCTTGACTCTGCAGCTTGCTTTCCCTCAGGTTTCCCATCCCATGTCTTAATGCTGCCGGGTTTGTGCGATGTTGCATAAGGAAGCATTACCAGAAGAATTACGCCTTCCCGGGCTTTCCAAAACTGAATCTGCCATTTCCTGCCCATGTTTCCAGTCTCCAGCCTCTTCGTATGTGCCTGAACTCACTGGAGCTTGCAGCTCCTTCAGTTTGGGATCACCTGCAAGCCTTAGTCCTCCCTCTGATCATCAGTAAGGAAGGGATAATGGAGACTCCCATCCTGAGTCTCAGCTCTGTGTGGATTGGGACATGAACTGAAACAACTAATTTTCATCTGGATCCGCAAACTGAACTGACTGACAGAGTCCCCCACACCCCTGTGACACCCTGAAGCAGAGGGTGGGAATGGAGAACCAAAGGGGAGCAAACAGGAGAGGCCAGGCTCAGCATGGCTTAAACCTCCATGGAGCCGCACCACCGGCTCCTGCTGTGATATCTTAATGATTCTGCCTTTTCTTCCTCCACGCTCTGTGCCTTAATTAGCCTTTCCCCCTCCTGTGGGCCAAACTGCTCTGCTTTCTTTTCAATCCTCCTTCCTCATGCTTTGCCTCTATCAGTGTCTTTCTACTGTACACTTCAAAGGCTTTGCTTGCTGCATCTCCCCTGTGCTGGCATCGGCTAGTAACACCCCAAAGCAGTTCAGGTCCACCATGAACCCACGGTCACTGAAATGGCTTCGGGCCCTTTGGATCTGGGCAAGAAGCAGGCATGGGGGAGGAGGGGTGGAAGGATTTTCACCCATTTCACCTCTGGGAAGAGTTATTAGTAACACAGGAAAAGCAAGGGGGAAGGCAGCCCCCTCCTTCACCCACCCTCCCCAGCAGAGAGCCTGCTGAGGGCAGAGTGCTTTTATGTGCAAGTGGGAGGGAAGGAGAGTGTTAGGGCTTCAGAGGGAAACGCTTTGATCTTGACTTTGAATCTCCTGCAGTTCCCGGCTCTCCCCCACCCCTCCCACCTATGGCTGGGACCCCAGGATGTGGCCAAGACTCCTGGTCCTTGCCTGGTGCTGTGGTACTGTGCTTGGTGCTTCACATTTAATTCCCTCCCGTGTACCTGGGAGCCTTGGGGAGCCTTGGGGAGCAAGGGCACAGTGCTGGCAACAAGTTCAAACCTTTCCTCTGTCCTGGTTTTGTCTGGGATAAAGATAATCTTTTTTTCCCTTCTCAGTAGCTAGAACAGTGCTATGTTTTGGATTCAGTATGGGATTTGATACAAGAAGAATGTTGATAGCGTACTGATGTTTTTAGTTGTTGCTAAGAAATCAAGGACTTTTCAACTTCCCATGTCCTGCTAGTGCGCAGGTACACAAGAAGCTGGGAGGGAGAACAGCCAAAGCAACGGACCCAAATTGGACAATGGAATATTCCATATCATATAATGTCATGCTCAGTATATAGATGAGGGTTGGCTGGGAAGCTCACTCTTGCTTCCAGGATTGTGGTTTCAGGATTCTCTCTTCTCTGGGATCACTAACTGAGAATGGGCTGGGCATCAGTCAGCAAGTGGTGAGCAACCACATTGTGCATTACTTGTTTGTATTTTCTATTATTATTATTATTATTCTAAATATTATTATTTAAATTTTATTTCAATTGCTAAATTGTTTTTATCTCAACCTACGAGTATCCCTACCCTCACACTTCCAATTCTCTCCCCCATTCCCCAGGGTGGGGGAGGGTGAGTGAGCGGCTGTGTGGTGTTTGGCTGCTGGCTGGGTTTAAACCACGACACCCTCCCATCTCACAAAGCAGGAAGAAAGAGGGAGCCCAGCTGGACAGAAGCCAGAAGGGAAAAGAGCCCTGAGCTGAGCAGAGGAGAATTAGAGATGGGACCTACTATCAGGGCTCTGCTACCCCAGAGCAGGGGACAGGCAGACCTGGCTCTCCTGTGCATTCCTTTTGCATTAGACTGGTCAGTCCTGAATATCACCCAGAAGATGATCTGCGAGGCAGCCACCATTAGGAGAGGGACAGGGTACTCTGGGTGACTCTCAGGGGACAGCACTGATGTCCCTTGGTCCCCCAAGGAGGGATCTTAAGTCAGAGAGAGGAGAATGGCAGTGGGGGCCCTGGGTGTTCCCCGTGGGATGGGAAGGAGATGGTGGTGAGGGGTGCTGGAGGAAGGGGAATGACCCTGAGCTCTGAGTCACTGCCGAGGAAGAGGGAAACAGGGTGTGGGAGAGCCTTAGGGGCCCCTGGTCTCTTGTCTAAGATGGGACCTAGTGCCCAGGCTAGCTCCATGCTTCCCCTGGGAGACAAAACTCCTGGCCGGGTCCTGCCACCAAGCTGTCCTAAAGTGCAGGCCACATTCTGCTGTCCTCTATGCAATCTCTCTGTCCTCAGTCACACAGCTGAAGTCACCTCTGTTAACTGCTCTCGCTCGCTGAGGTTGATGCACTC